GATTCAGGCTCGAGCGTTAAAGCTCGAGCACCACCACTTCAGGCTCGAGCATGGCTGAAAACTCTGAACCCACTTCAGTATTTTGGCCATAACTTTTGACTTGGAACTCCAAATTGAGCAAACTCTGAAATTTGTTTATATCAATCAGGTAAGAGTCTAAATTACTCTTTAATTAATTAAAGTATTCTTAATTTCTACATTTGTATTATTTGATTAAAACCCAACACTTTGATGTTAAGTTGAAGAGTCCTGCTATTTAGTCCAATAAATAAAAAATTTATATTTCACTGATTATATGTGTCGAGATTGTTAAACATGTGATTAAACTGACATATAGGGACCATGGCTGCTGATATGATATTGAGAGTTGGAAAATTTTCCTGTTTAATAGAGTTCTTTATATTTGTTTTAGTTGACTGATTGATGCATTGCTGGGACATTATAATATAAAAATATGTTTGAATGAGCTGATCTGACTCGACCACGAATCGTCGATCAACGGGCCTAGAACCTCGATCTGACCCAATCACGAATCGTCGATTGATGAAAACAACCGACAAAAGGGTAACTAACCCCGACTTGAAGGTTAAGACAAGTTTAGATAAGAAAAAAAAAAGGGTTAAAGATCGATCCTAACTTGGATCGATCATACCGTGATCGATCTCTATGCTCACACGATGGGACAGAGGGCATGAAATTTGTAGAGCTTCGAAATTTTTTCCAAGGATGGAAGTGACATTGATGTAAGTATTCAATCTATTAATTAAATAATACATCATATTTTATTTTTGCATAAAACTTGTCTCTATGTGATGAATCAAGATCTATGTATGAAAATCCCTCAAAAAGTTTGGTAAAATACACATAAGAGTCTTGTGGGGATTGAAAATACACTTTCAGTTTTATTGGAGAATGATGTGTATTTTATGAGTAGTTGAGCTCTTATGTATTGGTTTCATTGATGGATTGATGACAAAAGAGTTTTTAGCCATGTTACTTTAAACCAAGGGCAACAGAGGAGTTGAAAGCAGTCAAGGGTTGCCGAAAAATCTAGGAAGACGACATTGAGATTTTAATCTGAAATATCAAAGGCAAGTTCTTCTCTTACTCTCTCCCTTTGATATGTGTTTCTATACATGCCTAGGATATTCCACGGAACTTAAAGAGTAGGGATGTCAATTTTTAACGCCCCGCCGGGGCTCCACCCCGTCCCGCCCCATTAATAATAAATATGGGAACGCTTTTTATACCGTTAGGGCGGGTATGGACACAAATTTTGTACCCGTTGCGGGTCACGGGGCGGGTAAGGATTTAGTACACATATCCGCCCCGCCCCGCCCCACCCCGCTAAGTATATAACTATATTATATATATATATAATATTGATAACTTATTTTAGTAGCTTACCGAGTTACCCATCTCTTACATCCTAATTTGGGATGTAAATTTGGTATTAAATTTGTTTTTGTTTTGGTTATGGTGGAAGTTGAAGCTTAGAACTTTTTTGTGATTTGGTTGTGTTAAATTTTTATTTTTGTTTATTATGTTCTCTGAATTATGTTATGTGCATGTTATTTTTTTTTTATTTTTGTTGGGATACATAATTTCATTTATGTTGTGCCATTCCCAGGCTTTCCACATTTAAATAGCACGAGCTTAAGTTCCAAAACGTGGAAGAAAAAAATTTGTTAGCAGGGCGGGCACGGGGCACAGTATTTCCTAACGGGGCGGGGCTGGATATGAAAATCTAACCCGTCGCGGGTCTCGGGGCGGGCATGGATTTGACAAAAATTAAAAGGGGCGGGGCGGGATTTAGGGAAACCCGCTCCAAACCCGCCCCGTTGCCATCCCTATTAAAGAGAGCAAAAGAACAAACATGGGTCAAAACGGGCAAAATCCGTTAATCAAGGGCAAAACGGTTAATTTACAAATAAGAAGGGAAACAGCTATTCATTCGGAAAGGAATCACAAACTGGAAGTGAAGTTGTCGCAATTTCCGATTTCTGCATTTTTTTTTCCCCTTTCATTCTTAAAAATAAGGCGAAACATTGGTTTAACAATTTGGGAGCAAATTCAATAACTTCTTAGTTACAAATGCAATTGGATGAAGATGAGGACCACGTGCCAACTGGATGGTACTCACGCCGAGTGCCACGTAGCTGCGCCGCATGGGATAAATTCCCTTCCTTAGCGCTGATCCAATGGTCTCGGATCCGGGTGCACGGTACAATGGTGTACCGCGCCGCACCAGATCCCCCTTCATCCCTCCGACACCGCCAGAATATGCAAGAAAAATGAAAAATGAGTCAATAGGAGGCTTATTTCACCAAGGAAATGGTTTTGTCAGGAAACGATCATGCACGCAGACGCAACTTACTTATTGGGACGCGTTACAATGATTCACAGCTTAAAAATACTGCCGACGCAAAATATGACATATCCAAACCCCAATGTGTGAAAAATGCCTTTTAAAAAAATATTTATTAATTAATATAAAAAGAGTTCAAAAATAATTCAACTCGTTAGAATGGTTCAAGTTTAGTAATAAAATAACGAACCAATAAAAAAATTAAGTGATAAGAATGGTTCAAGTTTAGTGATAAAATAATGAATCAATCAAACCAACCGTAAAACTTATGGGACACATTTATTAAAAATTGATTTTTTTATTCAAATTAGTAATTGGAGCGACAAATATTGGATCCAGAGATAATTAAATCTGCTTGGGCTACTGATAATTTTACAAAAAGGGTAGATGATTACGGTTAGACTTTAATAAGACATGGGCTTGGGTTGGATTGTACAGATGGGCTTGGTTTTTGTTTTAAAATGAATAAATGATAAAATTGGGTTGGGTTGAGTTTTATGTCTAAAACAAAAAGGACTAAATAATTTAATGGGCTTGTGGACTAAGCCTTCATAAAACGAAATTATAAAATTATCTCTATAATCTTCACGAGCCCAAACAAGAACATGTTTACGAACATACAAGCCGAACCGGATGTTGTTTGAGATTGGTTTGTTTATTAAACAAGCTTGGAAATCTTGTTTGAGCTTGGTTCATTTACTAAGCAAACGAACATGAACTGAGTTCGTAACGAGCCGAACTCGAGCAGTTTGTCGAACATTTGGTTCATTTACAGCCCTAAGAGTGAGTGAGAAATTGGGTACAAAAACCAGTACACCAATATGTGAGTGAGAGATTGAGTGAGAGAGTTGATGATTTGAGATTCACCACACTAAGCATTAGGGCTGTAATCAAGCCAAGCCGAGCCGAGCAGAGCTTTGGAGTGTTTGGGCTTGGCTTGGCTACTCCACAGAGGTGCTCGAGCTCGGCTCGAAATCCCTCCTTTACAAATTTTTTATCCCTCAAAAAATAGGTGGGGGAGAAAAATGGATTATTATAGAAGTTTTAAATTAAATAATATTCTATATTATACTAATTTTAAATTACAGTAATATCCTTTATGATTCTACGAATTGCAACTATATATAAATATTACAAGACATAATGTTAAAATACTAAATTAACAAAGCATGAGAATTCCAGATGTTCTTTATCCTTAAGAGTGGGTGATTGATGGTACAGAATTGGACCTTTAAAATCAGGATATCATGGTTAATTTTTCTTTATTTTCTTTTTTTCCCTCTATTTGGAATTTTGGAGGGAAGGAGGAAGGAGAAAATTCGGGAAGGACCTGCAATACTTTGAAATAAACCCTTGAAATGCCAATGACCTTGTGTGTGTTGATACACATTACTAAATAGGCAGAAAAATCATTTGGACGACATTAAACTAACTTCAGAGATTTCTTTTCTGTTAAGATGTTCCTGAAAACAAGATACTAGGGTCCTCTAATGAGTAAACTTTAGAATGGGTACAGTTGTAAGTTCTCTAACATAAGGAGGTGAAAGATGCAATGACGAAGCACTTAAAAAACAAAGTGTAAGTTCTTTGGTTTGGTTATGTACAGAATGTCAAAAGACTTCAAATATACATCTCAGTGAAAAATTGCTGACCAACGTTTTCAAAATGACACTTGTTTCTTTTCCTAAATAGTGATCTGTAGAGATGAGATTGTTTAAAACAGCCTCATAGTCCAAAATTTAATGTGTTTCCGAATATAATTTGCTGCACAATTGACTGCATCCTGGACAAATGATTTTGAGAGCATATTAATTACATCAATTACTGTTTAATATCTACTTATCAAAACAAAAACAAAAACAAAAAAATACTGTTTAATATCTAAGGCATGCTAGAAATCTAAAATCTATACCATACATCTTAATATCGTGTTAAAAAACAATTCTATAACAAAAGAACCACTATATATATATATATATATATATGACTTGCCTGATTTCGGGTTGGGATCGGCTAATTCGTCTAACTTGCACCCCTATTTATATGAGAGATTAGGTCATTGGACCCTACAATTGTTTTACATTATAAAGCCACAACTTACAATTTTGTCTTTTTGAGATATTGCATTCAATTTTCAAATTTTCGAAATTTGAACTATCTTGTGGCCCTTTACATCTTACAAAGAATGATTTTGGCCCCAATAATTTACAAAACCAAGTTCTTGCAACCCGAGATGGGCCTTACAATTTTGTCTTTAATTTTCCTTCTCTCTTTCTTGGGGAATTATCAAATTTTACATGCATACAATTCTTTGAGAGTATGAGTAACTAGAAATTAAATTAAATTAAATTTATACAACATATATATTTACCATGCCACTCACTCTAGTTAAAAGTAAATATAATATAATCCTACAATCTAAATCACTTAGAAGTTTGTAGCAATTATCAATATCCTATGGTCCACTCTTAATTCTCTTAAGTTTTAACAATTTATTAGATGATTCTTTTTATTTTTTATTATTATAGTGACTTTATTTTGAATTGTGGCTGATTATTTGTTATTGAATTAGTAATTCTAAATGTATTAGTTTATTAGCAATTTTGAATTTATTCACTTCAGTTCCAGAAGTGATGAAGAAGAATGAAATAAAAGCTCTGAATATCCCAAGCAGAGGCAGTAATAACATGACTTGCATCCATGCATACCAACTTAAAACCACGATTCTCCCCTAATAAGTACATCATGAACCTTGGCTGCACCAATTGAGAAATTCTCATTCTTTACTATATAAAAGTCTGGTCAACCATTATATGAAAGCCTCTGAATAATTGCAATTTTAAAAGCCAAATCTTGAGTGCATCATTAATGATTCTGGACACCAAGAATTCATGTTCAAAGATTACTCGTCTACCATAAAATCGTCATTTGGTACATACCCCACCTTCTTCATTTTCACATGAAGATCACAGAGTAACAAATATATTGTCTTAGATTGGCAATGAGACTTATCGCCAACTACAAACAAATGAACCCTATTCCCAACTTCAATCCAACTGCAACCTGGTTGCTTCTTCAAACCTTTGTCCTTCATTTTCAACCTCACTTCCGCAGCTTCTCTCCATTTTCCATTTGAAGCATATATATTAGACAGCAAGAGGTAAGTACCAGCATTTTCTGGTTCCACCTCTGTAAGTTTCTTTGCAGCCAACTTCCCTATATTTTCAACACCGTGAACATTACATCCAGCAAGAAGAGCCCCCCAAACACATGCCGATGACTTGGTTGGGAGCCTCTCAATGAATTTAAAAGCCTCTTCAAGTCTTCCCGCTCGACCATAGAGATCAACCAAACATGCGTAGTGATCTTCTCTCACTTGGATGGAGCTGTCTCTCACCAGCTCATCAAAGTACTTCAGCCCCTCTTCCACAAAACCAGCATGACTACATGCAGACAGCAACCCCACATAGGTGACGTAGTTGGGTTTGAACCCTAAACCTTGCATTTCTTTGAACAAATGAATTGCCTCTTTACCACATCCATGGTGCGCATAGGCTGCAATCATACCATTCCAAGAGACCAAATCCCTTTGGCTTGTCAACCCGTCATCAAACATTTTTCTAGCAGTACCTAACTCCCCACATTTCGAGTACATGTTTATGAGTGCGGATACCACAAATGCACTGCCTTGATAAACTGATTTGCAAATTATCTGGTGAATTTGCTGCCCCTCACCAAGACCAGCTAAATTACTACAAGCACCCAAAACAGTCACAAAAGTTCCTTGATTAGGCTTTACCCCGGTGGACAATTGCATTTTTGAAAAAATCCTCAAAGCCACTTCACTCTGACCATCTTGAACATACCCGGTCATCATCGTTGTCCAAGAGATGACATTCTTACTAGGCATCTCACTGAACAACTTCTGTGCCTTTTGCAAATCCCCGTTTTGGATAAATCCTGTGATCATTGCATTCCATGAAGGGAGATCCCTCTCTGGCATCCTCTTAAACAAATTAAAGGCTTTATCTAACATCAGATTCTGTGCATAACCCGCAATCATAGCATTCCATGAGACCACATTCTGCTCTGGCATTCTATCAAAAAGCATTTGAGCTTCCATAATCCTCCCATTTTTTGACAAGCCTGTAATCATTGCAGTCCAAGAAATGATGTTCCTTTCAGGCATCTGGTCAAAAATCCTCCATGCCTCCTCAATTCTGCCACTTTGAGCTAAACCTGTTAGAATCATATTTCCAGAAACAACATTCCTCTCCGGCATTTCCTCAAACAGACTCAAAGCTGAATCCATTCGACCATTTCGCACATACCCATCAATCATGGTATTCCATGAAACAGTGTTTTTGTGAGGCATTTCATGGAATAGCTTCTCTGCTTTCAAAATCTGATTCTTTTTTATATATGCGGAAACCATAGCAGTCCAAGTGACCACATTCTTCTTGGCATCCACCCTATCAAACAAGTTTCTTGCTTCCCTAATCATCCCACACTTGATATAACCTGAAATCATAGTAGTCCATGTAATCACATCTGGGTCAGGCATTTCATCAAACAGGCGCCGTGCTTCGGGAATTCGACCCTCTCTGCTAAACTCTGTGATCATCCAATTTAGCCGAGCCACATTTTGATTGACTGTATAATCTATCCGAGGTATGGGTGTTTTGGCTATTCCGGGTCTTTTCATTGAGTGGTATTGATAAAATTGGGGTTCCCATTGAAGCTTGAGATTGCATAGAATTGGTATGAAATTTTGAACGGAACTCGGAAGGGGTAATATGGTGAGGTTGCCACCATGTCTCAGAGTGACTGATAATGGTATCCTAAACAATGGTAGCATTCAGGCACTGTTTAGTTTTGCGGGTGTAAGTCTTCCATAGGAATATCAGCGAAAACTAAGGGAGTATATATTCGGATATATTATATATATTAAATATATATGTGTTCGTATATATAAATTTTCTTACAGAGTGGAACACACTGCGAAGAAAGAAGGATCACGGTCGTCGAATCCAAGCCTCCAGTTGCGTCCTCAGTTGCCGGTAGACGAGTGGAACAGTGAGAGAGAAGAATGAGTGACACGTTGCAAGAAAGGAGAGCGAGCGAAGAGTGATGTCGTTGCTGGATCGTCGGTGGTCGTCTCAGGTGGTGACTGTTGTTGTCCGAGAGAGAGAGAGATGCCGAACTTTAAGTATTCCAAGAACTCACTGAGAACGAATCGTCCTACGGTTTATTTTTCTGACAAATTTTTCCTCCAAAAGTGACTCGAAAATCTCAAATATATACATACACATATACATATACATAAAGAGAGACTGTTTCTGTAGAATAATTAGGGTTCGACCGGTTTCAGAGTTGGGGTAATTGAAACGATTGAATACAAGTGAAAGTTGAGAGAGATGTGAGTGACTGAAAAATGAAAAATGAAAAAGGAAACCCAGAAACGTGTAGAGAGAGGAGACGAATTATTCTGAAATGCAAAACCCTAGTTTTTCTCGCGATCGGGTTTGTGTAAATTTCTCAGAAATTGGGAAAAGTTCTCTGGGCGAACTGCGAGTGACGTGACCAGTGAGTCGTGAGTCGTGATTCGTGAGTGAGTGGCACGGTCACGAGCTCGTGGGAATAATGGGCCGTTTTGGTGATTGGGCCTCTTCGTAAGCACTGGACATGGATGCCGCTCTCCTTTCTTTCATGCAGACAACAGCAGTCAACGGCATACCTGAGAGTGAAAGGAATAATGGGCCTCTTCGTAAGCACAAGACATGTCCTAATAAACCTGACCATGGCAATGTAATAATAGTTCAAATAAAGTACAGGACATGTCCAAATAAAGTATTATAAAATAATAATAGTTCGTCCATCCAATATACTATCTATATATCCTGAATTTATGGACAAAGACTTGATCAATGTTCTTCAACCTGACAATTTGGAGCCTTTCATAGTCCTGACTCCCTAAGAGGCCAGAAGTAAGTTTTTTACTATGCTTTTATTGATATTTTACGGAACTATTATTATTTTAAAATACTTTAATTGTACTATTTATAGTATGTTATAACAAATTATTTTTGTCTAACTACATTGTGATTCCAACAATCTAAAGCCTCAGTATATCTTCTTTTTGTATATAATGTGTTTATTGCTTCGCGTTGATTTTATGTCTAATTTTGTATTTTCTGTTTAATTTTCTAAGAAATATTGTTCCTTTGTACGTTCTCTAGCCTAATTCTCTTCAAAGTATTTTTGATTCCCGTATGTAATGTCTTTATATTTGGAAGAGATTTTTGAAAGTATGTTTCATTAAGATTTAGAATAAGAATACTGAGAAATTAAGAAACTCTTTAGAGTTGCATTTAGAATAAAAATGATATTTAATTCAATCACTTTAATATATATTTATCTGTAATATGTGTATCAGATATTGTAATACCCCAATATTTTAAAGGATTTATTAATTAGAATTAATTACTTTTATTTGATTTTAAAATGATTTGTTTGATTTAATTGGAATTAATTGCTTTTATTTTATTTTTAAATAATTTATTTTATTTAATTGAGTGTTATAGTTAATGGTCTTATTTTTATTAAATTTGTTTCGTGATTGTACTTGATGTATTAGTATGTTGGTTTGCTTTATGAGAATGTCATGATTGTGTTGTTTTAAGTTACTTATTTGACTACGTGTGATTTTTATGCTAGTGTGATCTTTTTGTGAATTAATTATAATTATTAGACTTAATTGAATTATTTTACTTATTTAAGTTAATGGGTTTGGGCTTAAGAGGAGAGGAACCAATGGATATGGTCTTGGGCTTGGATAAAACCTTGTTGAGTTAATTAATAAAGGCCCATGATTAAGTGATTATTTAAATGATCATTTTTGGGTAATTATATATATATATATATATATATATATTGTTATATACGATTTAATTAATTAATGATTAATTATGGAAGGTATATATATATATATTATTTAAGGATAATTATTATTATTTTATTTGGTAATCTCAGTAGGAATAGAATTAGGGTAATTAATGGGTATAAATATACACATAAGGCTTTAGGGTTAAAAGTTTGATACGTTAGAAAAATAAGAGAGACAGAGAGAGATGAAGAAGAAGGGCTGACAAGGAGTAGGTCGGATCTGAAAAGGAAAATGTCAGAATTGGAAGAGATAATTATAAACGTTGGTTTCGTTTTGAAACTTTCAGGCGAGTTTTCTCTATCTTTCCTTTTTAAATTCATAAGTATTTCATCTAATGTATCAAGGCTTTGAATTAAATTTATAAATTTAAGTCATGGTTAGAGCAGAATAATTAAAAGTATAGATAAATATATTTGATTATGGATTATCGGATTTTAATTATATATATAGATGTTGTATATATTTTAAAATCAAGTTATAGGTTGATCTTTGACTCAATAGGGTTAAAAAGGGTTTTTATAATTTCTGGGATCTTTTTAGATTTTCTGGAATTTTTCTAGATTTTTCTGGATTTATTTTATATTTTTAGGAATTATTTTAAAATTTGTTTTCTATATTTTTTGGTTAAATTATTATACACTGTGTACTGTATATACAACGGCGTGTGCATAAGGGAGTACGATTCTGTGCGGTGCGGCTCACAGAGTTTCGGTGCGCCCAAATCAGGACCATAGAATGGCCCTGATGGTTATTAAATGTTCCAGTGTGTGTATATGCATAGGAGAATGGTACACTTGTTGACCTATGCCGTGGATGGAGTTGATGGATGGTGAAGGATGATCTGGTGCGATGTAGTCCATAGAGAGATGATGCACCTTCAGCTTTGACCGCTGAATATAATTAAATGGTGGAAGATGATTCGATGTGGACGAGCTCACGAGAATTGAAAGAAGCAGCCAACCAAAAGACGCCACGTCATCAAGAGAGTCATCAGGCGAGTCTCAGCGCGTGAAAGTGCGTGAGGGCGTGTGGTGACATGTGACAACTTGTGGTGGCGCGTGCAGAGGCTTTAAACGCGTGTGACACTGTTTGGGGTCCCAGAAAGTTGTTGTGGGGTCTAGTGAATTTTTAGAATTTGTTTTAAGCCTGTTAGGGTTAAGAACAACCACTAGAGGAGGTGTTATTAGTGTCTAAGAGCCATAGAGAGTACTACGACGATTAGTAGAATGTACTTTGAGTAAATATAATAAATTAATATATTAGTTATGAAAGGAAGTGTACATATATATATATATTTATTTTATATATGTATATTTATGAATTAACTATTATGTGATTGGTTTGTAGGGAAGTATATATATATATATTGATATATATGTATATGTTTTAAATAATTAAGAATTATTATGGAAGGTAATATACATATATATATATTGTATGATGTATGTGTATGTATATATATATCATTTAAGATGATTAATATTATCATTCTTATTTGGTATATCTGGATAGGATGATTATTAAATTAATGATATGCGTATAATATGCATGAAATGGCTATGTATGATTTAGCGTATGGTTAAGTTTAAAGTAATTCATGGTTAAAGTGTAGACATGGATGAGTTGCCAAATGGTTAAATATATTACCTACATATTTGTATAGGGATGAATAAAATAAATAGGAAGCATGGATGAGTTGCGAAGTTAAAAGTATAAAAATATATACTTAAGGAGGCATGGTTGAATTGCCAAGGTATAAATAAATATACTTTCAGGAGGCATGGTTGAATTGCCAATATATAAATAAATATATTTATAATGGCATGGTTGATTTGCTAAAGTGTAATTATATTGCTACGTGTTTGATGATTAAAATATATCATCTATGGTTATTATATGTATAAGGTGAGTTAGGATTAGATATTCTTAAATTAGAATAGTCTAATACTTACAGTAATTAAATATAATATTCTTTTAATTATATTTTATTATTAAAATTATTAAATTGCCGTGTAGGATGGAATTAAGGTTAGGGGAGTTTCTTTAAAAAGAACTTGTGGATTGGACTAGATATGATTATTATTTAATCATTGATAATGGTTTTAGAATTAATGCACCTAGCTATAAATGTTATTGTTATACTGTATATAATTAGTTATATATATATGTATATCATGGTATATAAGGTTAAAACTTTATTAGGTTTGTTTTTGATCAGAGATGATCTATTTATTGGTTTTCAGAGGTCTGGTAGAGAGAACTTGCTCGTATGGTTTAACCCACGATTTATTTTTTAGGTTATTAGAAATTCAAGTCTCAAGGTTGAAGATCCGCAGTTGGAGGACTTATCCATTCTTTCTTCTTATTTCAATGTAGGATATTTTCTAATTGTTAGATAATGGATTTTATTTAGAAATCATTGGATTATTGGATTATGTTATCAGGGGTCCTTGATTTACGGGATTTCCAAGTTGTAACTTTTGGAGAATTATTAATAAAATTTTAATTTAATAGATTTTCCTTCAGCGAATTATTTGTTTTTTTTTTTATTTTTTTATTTTTTTTTGTACTTTGTGCTTGTTTGAAATACTTTAATTGTTTTGATATCTTTTAATTTTGTGCGCGGACTTGATCAACCCGTATTCCGAAATTAGGGGTATCACAAATATATCTATAGTTACATCCCTTATAATAGGGGATTTATTTTGTATTATTTATATACACTAAAATTAGTTTTTTTTTTTTTAATTTAAAAAGAAAACATGACTTAAAATTTTTGTTTTCTCAAGAAACATGACTTTTAAAATAATAATAATTAAATAATTAAACTCTTGTAACAACACTTTCTAACCGCAAACACCTCCTCTATTTTAAAATAATAAATATTTTGTATTGTAAATATATATATATATACATATATATATATATATATATATTCCATTTTACATTGTACACCTTTTGAATTTCTAAACGTTACACCTTTTAGCATTTCAATATTTTTAATATTCCCTGCCAATACACATTTACACCTTTGAATTTCAAATATAAAAATAAAACACTTCAAAAGTTACCTTGATTTTGCACACCAAGTAGCCTGCTTTTATGAAGAGTTTCTCTTAAATTCAAATACCTATAAAGAACACCTCTTCTTTTTCATATTAAACACCTTTTTTATATTTATATAATATCTTATTAAAATACATCGGTTCTCTATTTAAATTATTTTGTATATATTATATTTTTTAATAAATTTTTTTAGTGTTCTTTCCTTCTTCAAACAACAAGACTCTTGAAAGTATATGTCGATTCGATCTTAAAAGTATATGTGGATTAGATCATTTAAAAAGGTAAACGAACATTCCAACAACCTAAATTACCTTCAAACCCCTTTCACTGGAGACAAATCTTTTATTATTGTGCAACAAATTACAAATCAAAACCCAATTTTTTCAAAGGTATGAAATCCAATTTTTTTTTAATTCAATTCACTTGCCCAAAGTTGGCTTGAATTGGAGAGTACGTATGCATTAAAAAGAAAATAAAATAAAAGAATGATTTTTCTTGAAAGCACGTGTGTTAGTTAAATTAAAACAAAGAATTAAATCCATCCAATTGTTTCATGCCGACCCCAAATTTGTACTTTCTTTTGCGTCACCGTTCTTGATTAATTTATGTGACGTTAATCTTAATACAATATCTTATTATTTTATTGCTTTCCTTTACTAAATTTAAAGTGTTCTTTTATTCTATTTTTAAGTTTGTTCAATTCTATTGAGTCATTAACATATTATGTTATGTCATG